ACTGTGAACAATGGCTGCTAGACTCTGGATTACTAATTTGGATCCAGTTAACCGCAAGGAGTCCTTTTCTTTTTTAAAAAAATATACCTTTATTGATTGCAGAGAGATGAGAGGGAGAGAGAGATAGAAACATCAATGATGAGAGAGTCATTGATCGAGCCCGCAACCCCGGCATGTGCCCTGACCAGGAATGAACCCGATCGCCTGGATCCTAGGTCCATGCTCAACCGCTGAGCCACGCCCGGCTGGGCAGAAGTCTTTTTCAGCAGATACATTCCTTCTCGGGATCAACGCCTTAGGCAAGATCTGAATCCCGTTCCTCTCATTTAAAAAAAAAAAAAAAAAAAAAAATGTCGATTTGAAGTCAAGATGGGTTTAAGGTTAGGCCTTACTCTTCTGTTATGCAGCTCTAATGTGCAGGAAAGCTCAGGCTAGACTTTCCTGAGCTCCCCCAGCTCTGTCCAGGTGTGTGTGACGGCACCTGTAAGCTCTTCATTTCCTCCGCTTCCTGCCGCTCACCCCCAAACTTAGCCCCATCTGTTCGCACCTTTCCTGTAGCCGACAACATGACAGTCAGATAATAATGAATTCTAACGTAACTTTTATATTCTCTCATTCCAAGGGATAAGAAAAGCATCTGCTTGATAAAAATCAGTCTAAAAGGAACTGTAATTTTTTTGTGTGTGTCAATATCTTCAGTTACAGAAGATAAATAGAACTTGATAAATTGTTATTTAGTGCCCTGACAACAAATGGCTGCCAATTTTGCAGTAAGTTACAAGGGCAGAGGTAGTATTGCTTGTGTTCCCACAAAGCTTAAAACATCTCAAATGCACTGCAGGAAGACAGTGAATAAAGGCTGAAATTCTCATAAGTTATTTTAAGTTAGATTTTCAAATAGTTCAATTTAAAATTTTAATTTTAAAACATTATATGCTTTTCAAAAAAAAGCCTATTCTGTACTGTTTTCATAACCAGCAAGTAATATGACTTAGTTCAACGAAGCTTCTATAATTCTTTACATATATGAAATGTACGTCATGGTTAGAATTTTGGTGGTTTTAAGCTTAAAAGAACTGTATTTTAACTGAGTCTCCAGATGCTGGTCTCTCAGTCTCATTTAATAAAGTCAAGAAACATCTGTTTCTTTGACAGTTCACCTTTGACCCTCTAATAGAACTGGTATTGTGGTAGAATAATTGCAAAATGTCAAGTCTTTAACTATTAAAGACCGATTGGGTGTGATACTCTTGAGCATAAGGGCAATAAAACATGCTGAAGTTTAAAATTTATTACCAGTTTTTCATATTGATGCTTTCAAAGTTTGAATATGAATAGCCGTATTTTCTACTGGGTGTGTTAACTAGTTTGGAATTGAAAGAGCAAGAAAGTAGCTTTCTTTTCCAGCCTTTAATGTAGAAAGAAGGAAGAGAAGCATGAGTTCGCTGCATCTGGTGTGGAATATTTTACATTCGAAATTCTCAAGGCAAATCAAATGAAATCTAACACCATCCAGACCTACTTGCTTGAGGTTTTTGCCATTTCTACAATAGATGGCGCCATAGGACTTAAATATGTCCTGTGGGAAACTGATAAAACCAAGTACAGTGCAAAAATCAGTGTGGACCAGAAAGACATAATGTTCTTTTAAGGGCATTAATAATGAGAAGGTCGGTGATTCAATTTGTTCCATTTATTAATGATGTTAACTTTAGTTAGTTGGTTAAGGTGTAAGGTAGTGTTCACTAAAGTGAGTTCTTCCCTTTGTAATAAGTAATTTGTAAGGGGGTATTTTGAGGGTACATAGATATCCTTTTTTCATTGACCTTTCACCCACAGATTTTTAGAATCCAACGAATTCACAGCTGAAGAGATTATTACCATAGTGGATGCAAAAATCATGATTTTCCAACTCCATCATTCCTCCTACATTTATTACTTGGTATTTTACCTTCAGGGAGAGCTTTCCTTTCTCATTTGTTCATTAATTTATTAATTTATATCAGTATGGACTTATATATGCTTATTTTACTTCATGAATATTGTTTTATTACTATTATTTATTTTGATGCTCAAGCTGGCTTTTATGTCTTTTTAATATGTCTCCACTATTTTTTGAGCACTCCCTTGCTTTCTGGCATAACTAGGAGCCCTGGTTCCCTAAGTCCTTTTAGTGGAGAATGGTATTTAGAAACCAAGGTATGGATGTTAGGTGTGCTCATTGATACTAAGGTGTCTTTGCTTTGGGCCCTTTTAGTTGACCGAGCCAAAAAAATACGTTTACATACATACATGCATCTAAATCCATATATTAAAACATAGTTCATACTGATATTCCCAATTGATTTTAGCACAACAGGATTCATTCTGATCTTCTCCCTTTCCATATGTAGAACTCCCCTCTTCACCAGTGAGAGACTTGGCTCTCATCCCTAATATTTTTACTCACTTGCTCGGTCCTACAGTACACAGGAAGTAGTTTAAGAATTGCTAACCCATTTCACAAAACAGAAACACTTCGAATTAGAGTTCACTATTTGCTCATAGTTATTTTTGCCTTAGACTGACATACAGTTTATCATATGATTTTATGTAGTATGAATTTTGTGTTTAAAAGTTAATTGGGTTAGCCCGGCTGGTGTGGCTCAGTGGTTGAGCATCAACCCATGAACCAAGAAGTCCCCGATCAGGGCACATGCCTGGGTTGCAGGTTTCATCCCCAGTAGGGACATGCAGGAGGCGACTGATTGATGGGTCTCTCTCATCGAAGTCCCTATCTCTCTATCTCTCTCCCTTCCTCTCTCTCTAAAATCAATAAAAACATATTTTTAAAGATTAATTGGGTCATTCCTTCCCCCCCCTTTTGTGTGGTTATGGTTTTCATTTGAAATATAGTTAAGTTCATTTATTTCTGTTTATATGTTATTTCCGTTTTCACCCTCCATTACTGTTGACTTTATTTTATCATTATTTTTTGGATATGTAAAACAATGTTTTGAGAGTCAAAAAATGATACGTATTAGCATACTCAGAAAAGTGTCACTCTCACCTCCATCCCACTCCTCTTTTCCTCTCCCACCTGTGGGCAACCAGCCACCCCCAGTTTATTCCTTCTTGGGTTTCTTTTTATAAAAACTAAGCAGTTACATATATATTTTCTTATTTCTCCTTTCTTACATGAGAGGTAACTCTACGTATGTATGTTCTTTTGAACTTTGCTTT